AAAACAAATAAATATGATTTAATGTATATTAAATGAATTTTTTTAAAAATTTAAATGTTTTCAAAAATAGTTTTACCTATGTAGACATCATAAATGGAGAGAAAACTCCCTAATTATATAATAGATTCTATCATATTCACTAAAGCTATTGTTATAACAAAAATAAAAAGTAATTTAGAAGAAAAAAAAAGAAGATGAATTTATTTAATATATCATTTTTTAACTATATATTTCTGTTACGTTCACGAAAAATCAATTTAAACTTATCACTCATATTTTGTTTTGTTTATGTTTGAAGATTTTGGTTTTTTTAGGAGAAAGAAATGTTAAAAGTCAATTTATAAACCAAAAACAACAAAGTAATCCTACAGCCGTTTAAAAGTTTCACTATATTGACATTAGGAAAAAGAGAAGTTCAAAGAGTAAAAAAACAAAGTGGGCAGTTAAGATTGTAGAGAACAAAAAAGAAGACTAAAAATATAATTGGCAAAATTTTGGTTGTTAATACTTTAAAATATGGTAAAGTCCTTACCACCACAACACCAATCACACTATTTTGAAGTTTATAACGAAACACTAACAATGTTGAAGAAAACTCTCAACTTTATAATGGCCGAATAAAACACTAACAATCGTGTTTTACATTTGCAATCAAGTTTTTTTGTTTTGCTAAAAATCTAAGTATTAAATTAGATTACAGAAAATAATTTTTTTTCCAGTGAATTAATTAATTGAAGTAATATCATTTACATATCATTACAGAAAACACTAACTTTTTGTATAATACATAGTATGTATTACATACACATAACAAAAGCCTTTCTGATATTTTTGAAAAATTACTGCGTATAATGAGGTATACTAGATGGTAAAATATTTTACATGTAGCTAGGATAAAAAAATTTTAAAAGATATATTTTGGAAACTGAAATTGTGAGAAATCATGTACCATTTATGACTTTTTATGTTATTTAATTGAGAATCTCAAAAAGTACAAATAGATGAGAGCTCTATTGGTTGGTGATATAGAATATTGCAATAATAATTGGGAAATTAGCATATATAATATGTTTGTTATTTATTATTGATTATTTAATATTGACTAAAACATATTTAGGTATCTAACAATTAATCTACATAGAATTCCAATTTTAGGCTTTTATAATTATCAAAAGTTTTGATTTTTAACTTTAAAACAAAACAAAATAAAAATAGAAATCTTTAACCCTAATATAGAAAAATTTACCTAGAATAACCTTTTAAAAAAAAATAGCTAGAATAACCTTACTATTTTTTTATTGCCGAAATAACCTATTCTGGATTTTTTTTCTTTCATAATACCAAAATTGTCCTTCGCAAACTCTTGCAATACCTCGGCAGAGTCTGCCAATGCTTCGACAGAGTCTGCCAATGCTTCGGCAGAGTCTGTCAATGCTTCGGCAGAGTCTGCCAATGTTCGGCAGAGTCTGCCAATGCTTCGGGAGAGTATGTCAATGTTCGGCAGAGTCTACGTATTTTTAGATATTGGCATATTTGCCAATACATCGGTAGAGTCTACCAATATTTCGGCAGAGTCTACCAATGTTTCGGCAGAGTCTGCAAAGGACAATTTTGGTATTATGAAAGAAAAAAATATAGAATAGGTTATTTCAGTAATAAAAAAATAGTAAGTTATACATTCATGCATAAAATATGTTTGTGTTATATATATATGTATGAGACACTATAAAATATATGTTATACATTCATGCATGTGCCAAAGTAAAGCTAATTAGATTCATTTATCTATAAACAAGATAAAAGTGTATCTACAAAAAAGGTAAAATACCAATTTTTAGCTAAAAAACCAAAATTAAATAATTATAGATCTGAAATTGATTAATTGTCCCAAATGTCAAAACATAAAATTGGAGCCATTCTAGTCACATGTGTGGATCTTATTATATAAAGAGCTTTTTCCTCTTCTTGTTAGATTTCTCTTTGATTAATTATCCGAGTGATTTTCTCTTTAATTTTCTTGTTAAAAAAAGAAGAAGAATTGATTAGTAATGGTAAATGATTTCAGCTTTATTATATAATGTAGGCGTGTTTTTATATTTATAGTTATGTTTGATAGATTTATGAGACGTTACAGAATATGTTATGCATTAATGCATGTGGCAATGTAAAGGTAACTAGATTAATTAGTTAACTATATAACAACAAGATAAAAGAGTAAGTATCTACAAAGAAGTTTAAATACCAAATTTTAGCAAAATCAAATAATTACAGATCTGAAATTGATTAATTGGCCCAAGGCCCAAATGTCAAAACACAAGATTAGAGAGTGACACGTGTGGTCTTATCTGATGATGATTATATAAAGAGCTTCTTCCTCTTGTTATATCACACAAGTAAAGAGCTTCTTCTTCCTCATCTGATAAAAAGTAAAACTCAAGAAAACTATCTCAAGCGAGTTATGGCTCTTGACAAAATCTCAATGGACGAGTACGCCAAAGCGGATGTAATATTTGTCTCCTCTATGGCTTTTTGTTACTCAAGTTTCTCTGTTCGCAAATTTCTGATTAGATCATTTCTACTATAGTGTGTGTTTCTGATCAGATCTTTTCTTACTCAGTCTTGTTTCTCTCTG